GTGGTGGCGGTGGGAGCGGAGGTGGCGGCGGTGGAGGAGGCGGTGGCGGAGGAGGTGGAGCTGGTCGGGGTGGCGCTGCGCAGAGGGTCGGCTCCGGTGGTGGTGAGTGCCAGGAGCAGCAGCAGCAGCAGCAGCAGCAGCAGCGCACTCGTGACATCCCCCCCCCTCAGCTGCTCCGTGAGTGGTACGCTGCACGCCAGCGGGGTGGGGGTACTGGTCCGTGCACCTACGTCCTACGCACCGGCGACCGGGCGGGTGAGCAGTGCGGGGGTGCGCACTCCACCCAGCACTGCTTTGGCCGCCTGACGGACACTTAGCGTCACCAGTTCCGGGAGGCCGCTGAGATCCCCCGATGGGGCGAGCTGTCTAGGGCAGGAGTAGCTGTCTTTGACCTTGACTTTGATGCTATTCTTGCTGCCATGTATGCTGTGACTATTAGTGATGAGGGAGACTGTTACAGGTGTTTTCCGCCCGACCCGGGCATTGAGACTGCTGCTCTAGGTACTGGTAAGGCTGCTGCTCTAGGTGCTAGCGAGACTGTTGCTCTAGGTGCCACTGCGTCTGCTTCCTCAGGTGCTGGTGAGTCTGCTCTCTCAGGTACTGCGTCGGCTTCGGCCTCCCACACCTTCACCCTTGACTAGGGGGCTTCTCGCTCCTTCTTTCGAGACCGCACCACATTCACGCCGCTTGGTCGGCTAGTTGCAGCCTCTCTGGCAGACCCCTCTCGGGGTCCTGTCCTTGCTCACTTCTCCACTATCCTCCTGTGTCCGGCGGCCCCCTCTGGCACCCTGTCTAGTCTTTACCTCCCCTCGTTCTCTACGAACTTGGTGAGTGGTGCTGACCTACATGATGCAAGGGTTCACCAGTTCACTCCTGCGAGTCAGCGGGTGACCCACTGCACGGACGCTCGGACAAGCCAACACCTGGCCAAGTTTACACGTTGGCCGGGGTCGAGCCTGTACACACTAACCACTGAGTCTCCTCCTCTCCCTGCGTCTGGTCAGGTAGTTGCGTTGGGTCAGGTGTTTGCTGCAGCGTCCAGGTCTGGTCCTGAGTCTGCCCCCTGCTCGTGTCGCCTCCTGTCTCACGAGACTCTCCTCTGGCACCACCGCCTTGGTCACCCCTCCCTGCTTTGTCTCCGACGCATGGCCTCCCGTATCCTTGTCTCTGGTCTTCCCCGGTCCCTCCCTCCCCTTCCCCCAGGGCCTGCCCCTGGCTGCGTCCCCAGCGTCGAGGGGCGGCAGTGTGCTGCCCCTCACTCCTCCCAGTTTCCTCCAACAGAGGCCCCGCTGCAGACGCTTCACATGGACGTGTTGGGCCCAACCCGCGTCCGTGGACAGGGTCACGAGCGCTACTTCCTGCTGGTGGTTGACGACTACTCGCGTTACACCACAGTCTTCCCCTTGCGCAGCAAGGGTGATGTCACTGAGGTGTTGATCGACTGGATCCGCGCAGCTCGTCTCCAGCTCTGGCAGAGCTTCGGCTCGGACTTTCCTGTTCTGCGTCTGCACTCTGACAGAGGCGGAGAGTTCTCCTCTGGCCTTCTGCGAGCCTACTGTCGTGCACGAGGCATCCGCCAGACCTTCACGCTTCCGGACTCTCCACAGCAAAATGGGATTGCTGAGCGCCGCATTGGCATAGTCATGGACGTCGCCCGTACGTCCATGATGCATGCGGCTGCCCCCCATTTTCTGTGGCCGTTTGCGGTTTGGTACGCGGCGCATCAGATCAACCTTCACCCCAGGGTCTCCATGCCGGAGACCTCCCCAGCTTTGCTGTGGACGGGGAAGGTTGGCGATGCGTCTGCGTTCCGTGTCTGGGGATCTCGGGCGTTTGTCCACGACTTGTCTGCGAACAAGCTGTCCCCTCGTGCTGCTCCTTGCGTCTTCCTTGGCTTCCCCCCCTGACGCGCCTGGGTGGCAGTTCTACCACCCCACCTCTCGCCGTGTTCTGTCCTCCCAGGACGTCACGTTTAACGAGTCGGTCCCCTACTACCGCCTCTTCCCCTACCGCACTCCGTCCCTCCCCCCACCACCGCTCTTCCTTGTGCCAGGTCCCCACCCCGGTAGACCCCCTCCCCCCTCAGGGTCCTGCCCCTTCAAGTGTGTCCCAGGTAGACGCAGTTGAGCCTGTCAAGGTTACTGGTGACTCTAGTGCTGTTGAGGGTGCTGAGCCTGGGGGTGCTGACTCTGGGGGTGCTGAGCGTGTGGGTGCTACGCCTGGGGGTGCTGAGCCTGAGGGTGCTACTATTGGGGGTGCTGAGCCTGGGGGTGCTGAGCCTGGGGGTGCTGAGCCTGGGGGTGCTACGCCTGGGGTTGCTGAGCCTGGGGGTGCTACGCCTGGGGGTGCTACGCTTGGAGGTGCTGAGCCTGGGGGTGTGGAGCCTGAGGGAGCTGGGCCTGCTTGTGTGGCGTCTGGCGGTGCTGGGCCTGGAGGTTCTCCGGGTGCTTCATCTCGGCGGGAGCCACTCTCTCCATAGGAACTGCGCGAGTGGTTTGCCCGGCGCTGGAGGCGTGCTGCTGGAGCTGGAGGTTCTTCGGCTGCTGAGGGTGCTGGTGCCGCGTGTCCCGGAGGTACTCATACAGGGAGTACTGGAGCTGCTGGGCTTGCGGGTATGACAGGAGCTGGAGCTGCTGAGGGTGTTGGTGCTGAGGCTACTGCTGTCGGTCCTGGAGGAGGTCCTGCTGGGGGTGCTACTAGTGTTGCTGGAGGTACTGGAGCTGGAGGTGCTGCTGGCGCTGGTGCTACCGCTGGGGGTACTGGTGCTGTCCTTGCTGTGTCTGGAGTCGCCGCGCGGCCTCGGCCGTACTTCGTTCCGCTCCTTCAGCAGGTGCTTGATCTCCCGCCTTCTACTGGTCCTCCTCCTCCCTTAAAGTGTCCACAGCCTGTCCCGTCACAGTTATAGTTAAAGACGGCCTCCCCATTGCCTGCTCCTTCTCCCTACACTTATCCTACTGGAGGTCTTGCTGAGCGTCGTGAGCTTGTGTCTCGCCCTGCGTCGCCTGTCCGTCCTGCTCGCACTAGTGTTCGTGGTTCGCGTCAGCGTCCTCCTCCTGTCCCTGGCACGCACCCGATGTCTCTGCGTCCGTCCACTGCTCCTCTGCATGCCCCTTTGCCTTCTCCTCCTGAGTCCTCGCTTCCTGCTCTTGCCGACCCAGAGTCGGACTTTCTTCGTGCTGCCAGTCCCACTCTCACGCGTCTCCTTGCTACTGTTGTCACTGACCCTTCCTTTGAGTCCACTTCTGCGTCTGCCCTAGTTGCTGAGCTCGACGACTTGAAGATGACCACTCTTGGGGTACTGCTGCACATAGCTGCTCACCGTGACTACGAGCTGCACTCTCTTGACTTCAGCACACCTTTCTTGTAGGGCAGCCTGCACGAGGAGATCTGGCTGCGTCGCCCACCTGGTTTCACTGGGTCTTTTCCTCCTGGCACCCAGTGGAGCCTCCAACGGCCAGTCTACGGTCCACGCCAGGCACCGCGTGAGTGGCACGACACACTGAGGACTACACTTGCGGCTCTTGGGTTTGCTCCCGCTACTGCCAACCCGTCGCTGTTTCTACGCACCGACACTTCTTTGCCGCCGTTCTACATCCTCGTGTACGTCGACGACTTGGTCTTTTCCACAGCTGACACTGCTGGACTTGCCCACGTGAAGTTCGAGCTGCAGAAGAGACTTACGTGCACAGACCTGGGTGAACTGCGCAGCTACCTTGGCTTGCAGATCACCCGGGACAGAGCACGCCGCACCATTACCCTGACTTACTCACACATGGTGCAGCAGGTCCTTCAGCGCTTCGGCTTCACGTACTCCTCGCCTCAGGCCACTCCTCTGTCTACTCGCCACTCGCTCTCAGCTCTGCCTTCGGATGAGTCCGTAGAGTCGAGTGCCCGGTACCCAGAGCTTGTTGGCTGCCTCATATACCTGATGACCTGCACTTGACCTAACCTTGCATACCCTCTTAGCATTCTCGCACGCTATGTTGCTTCTGGGAGACACAGACCGAAGCACATGGCTGCAGCGAAGAGGGTGTTGCGCTACTTGTGCAGTACGTCGGGCATGGGGCTAGTGCTTGGAGGGCAGAGTCCAGTGGTCCTCACTGGGCACGCAGACGCTTCTTGGGCTGACGACAAGGCTACGCAGCGCTCGTCACAGGGTTACACTTTCAGCCTTGGTTCCGGCTCTGTTTTGTGGCGGGCTACTCGCTCGTCTTCTGTTCTCAGCTCCAGTTGTGAGGCTGAGATCTACGTCGGGGCCATGGCTGCACAGGAGCTTCGCTAGCTCACCTACCTGCTGACTGACCTCGGAGAGCTGCCTCGTTCTCCTCCAGTGCTGTACGTAGACAACAAGGCCATGCTGGCTTTGTGTCGAGAGCAGAGACTGGAGCACAGAACGAAGCACATTGCTCTTCGCTACTTCCTTGCTCGTGAGCTACAGCAGCGTGGTCAGCTACGTCTTGCGTACGTGGCCTCTGAGGCCAACACTGCTGATATCTTCACCAAGGCACTTGCGCCTTGTGTTCATCAGCGTGTCTGTACTCAGCTAGGTCTTATGCCTGCCTTGCCTCACTTGCTCACCTCTTGACCTTGCTTGTACTGTTACATAAATATGTACACCTGCTCTTGCTTGTCTAACCTTTTATATATATGTACTCCTACATGTGAACTGGCCTTTTGGCCTTGAACTTGCGCTCGGAATGTGTGGTGACTTTGTGATCCACCCTGAGCTTGCTTTGCTTTGCTTTGCTTGACTGGTCTTGTGACCCCTTGTTCTCCCCCACTTTGCCTATGGGGGTGTGTCAGAACATTATAGCTTATACTTTTGTGTAGGCCATAAGGGGTACAACCCAATTAGGGTTAGTACTTGTACCCAACTGTTTCATAGTCCATTCATTCTCGTTCAGTTCTCATATACCACGCTTCGGAGGTTGGATGATGCGGTTGCAAAGATCCTTTCAGCCGACTGGTCGGAGCAGGAAGTCAAAAAGGCATATGCAGCGATGGCGAAGAACAAGTCTCCCGACGGGGATGGGCTGCCGAAAGAACTGTTCGAAGCTCACTGGGACCTATTGGGGGAGAGCTTCATGGCCTTGGTGAGGAGTTTTGATGCGTCTGCCACCCTGCCATCAGCAACCAAGGAGGCGGTCACCATCGTGTTGCATAAGAAAGGGGAGAAAGATGAGCTCAACAACTATCGCCCGATTACCTTGCTCAACTTCACTTACAAGGTTATAGCGAGAGTGGTATTGGACTGGATGAAGTTGGTGCTTCATCTAGTCATATCCCCGGAGCAGTATGGGTTCATCGCGGGGCGGCGTCTCTCGGATGCGGTGGCTTTGGTGGCTGATGTAATCGACGCTGCAAAAAACGGTGCCGAGGATTGGTATCTTCTCTTGGTGGACTTTTAGAAAGCCTTCGACTCGGTGTCGAGGGATTTCTTATTCGAAGTCTTGGCCCATATGGGTTTTCCGGAACGCTTTGTTGGCTGGGTCAGGGGCCTTCACGAGATCACATCAACGAAACTGTTGGTTAATGGCTGGCTGGGGAAAGGAGTGGAAGTGGTGTCAGGCGTGCGGCAAGGGTGTCCGTTGGCGCTGTACCTCTTTCTCTGCGCGGTGGATCCATTGGCGCGGGAAGTGGAGAGGCAGGAGCTCGGTCTATCCAAGCAAAATTTGCACTTCAATTACCTCGGTTACGTTGATGACACGACGTTGGCACTGCAAGGGGCAGAGCAAATTGTTAAAGAGGAGGAGGTGCTGGACTGTTTTGAAAAAGGGTCCGGTCTGGCAACTAACAAATCGAAGTCGGTGCTGTTACCTCTCGGTGCGAATCTGGGAGCAAAGGGTGATGGGACGAGCAGTTTCAAGTGGGCCAAAGCGGACGAAGCAGAGCGCCTGCTGGGAGTCTAGGTAACGCCTTCTGGTAGCGGTTTGCCGACCTGGGAGAAGGCATGGGCGCACATCACGGAGAAATTAACGAAGTGGCAGTTGAAATACCTCACGTTATCGGCAAGAGCTACGGTGGTCAATAGCTACATCACCCCGCTATTGGCTTTTAAAGCGCAAATCTACCCCCCACCTTCGATCATTTGGGATGAGATTACCAGGCTGCTGCAGAGCTTCTTGTCGGGCAATCGGGTGGCGACGGTGAAGGGCTTCATTCTTTGGAGCAGGACGCTGTTGTATACCCCAAGGGAGGCTGGCGGCATCGGGGTAAAGGACCCGGAGATTGTGATCACCTGTCTTGCTGCCAGGCGGGTGGGTCTCTATCTTACGGAGCGGAACCCCATGAAGAAGGAGATCATGAGACGTGCGAGAGTTTTATTAACTCACCGCTCTGTGTCCGGCCTGCGGCGGTCAACAGAGAGGAGATTTTTAAAAAACGTTTGGTTTTTAACAGAGCATCGTTGCTACAAACACCGATAGGCGGTCAAAAGGATAGTAAGGGCTTGTGGGAGGTGCGTGTCGGCGATCAACTGGAGGTGGATGTTAGCGGTGATCTCGTGCTCAAGCAGCAACGGATGCTGTCGCAGCAGCTCGGCGGCAGCGGTCCGGCAAGATTGGCGGTGAAGGCGTTGACCACTTTACCAGCGCCCTGGCTGCAGCTGTTGGGTTTTGCCTCGGTCCCTCCCTGCTCGGCTACCTCTAACCCCCCGCTGAACATTCTGGAGGGTGGGGAGGTGATTTCCATCAAGAGGATGAGGGAGTGCTGGAAAGGGGCGTACCAGGAATCGAGCAAGCGTGAGAAGCGGGTGAGAAGATGGGGGAGGCCAATCAACTGGAAGCTGTTGGTGCAACCCTACGGTTTGCACTCGGCTTGTTGTCCGTCTGCGTGAATGCGTGTGTGCATGGAATGGTATGAGGGTATGGGATAATATATAATTCATGCTTATAATAGTGTGTGAATGATGGGTCATGATGTCGAGTGTGTGTGTCACGTCAATAGCGAATTATCGCTAGTCGCGTGTTACGCGGTCATTTTGTTTGTCCCGCGCGCTTTCTATTTTGTCGTGCGCGGTTTCTATTTTGTCGCTTGTCGAACGTTCGGCGTGTTGCAGGTGTGTGCAGAAGACCCATCAAGAACTCAAGGATGAGTTTGTGATGAAGAACCCGAGCCTTGGTTTCAAGCTTCAAGTGATCGCGAAGCTCGCCAAAAGGATACACCTCAAGAAATTGAAGATCGTTATATTACTTTGTGTAGTGTAACATTTCACTTGGTGTAGGCCCTAGTGAAGGGTAGTTTCGAGTCCCTTCGTGGTTGGGGACAGTGTGGCACTGTTCAACATCACTGTACCTCGGCTCTTGGGGTTTGTAGGAGCTGGGAGTCATTCCCAACTCGTAACTCTTGCTAGCTCCTCCTAATTGTGTGTTCTAAGACTATGTTGCTACCATAGTGCTATTCGTTCAAACCAATGTTGTGTCGTCAATTCTTGATGAAATCGTGCGATCTAAATCGCGTATTGTGGACAAGGTTAAGGCGTTCTAGATCCAAGTTGAATGAAGTCATTTGGAGTTGTGAGCAGATCGCTATGAACGTTAAAAGCCGCTATGCAGAAATCCGACTGTGCACTCTATCCTTCGTTTTAGGCACATTGAAGCCTACTGTGAATATAACAGAAGCGGGTGGTTTCATCACGGGACTCGTTGGCGGTGCCCAGCTGTCCACGTGACGTTCTCCTCCGCATCCACGGCCTGAATCTGCAGGTGGGGGAGCGGCTTGCGTTCCTAAGCGTAAAACCGGCTTGTCCCTACTTCGCGGGGGAGGAGACCTTGGACCACTGCCTCCTCCTTTGTCCTCGAATACGGATTGTAACCTTGGCTCTCAGGCACGCTCTGCGCATGCTGAATCCCAACCGCCCAACTGACACGCTCGGGGACTTACTGTTCCGGAAAACGGGGTCCAGCTCAGCCTTTCCGGAGCTGACCCTCACGTCCATCGCATTTCATTAGCTGTGGGTTGAACGGTGCGAAGCTGTTTTCCGCGGGCAGAAATTTCGCACGAACCGAGTACTTCACAAGATTGAGTTCGCATTCAGGCAACATGCACGGATCTACACCCGGAAGTTTGGCGCAGCCAGCCACAAGCGGCATCAAAAAAGTTTCTCGGAGGAGCAGAACATGTTGGGGAAGATCAAAGTGGCCGGCAAGAGTTTGAAGTGGCCAAGTGTATTCGTTGATTATGGTCCAAGAGGAGGGCTAGCATTTCCCGCCCTTAGATTATCTCATCTAGAACAGTAGGTCAACCTCTGTTCCTCACGCGCGGTTACGACCGTTATGGGGTATATGCTTGCTCACTCGATGTATACTTTTCATATAATCTAAAAAGGAAAAAAAAAAAAAAAAAAAAAAAAGATGAGGTGTTCAGTTCGAAGCCTGCCAAATTGTTGACTTCTGTAAGGAAATTTCCTTTTCCTTACTTCGCGTCCCCGCTCAGTGCGTACACCATTGTAGCACCACAGTCAGCACCGTTACCACTCGCAACCCTCACATCGACAATCCTCCCGCCACCTTCGCACGTCGCACCCCGACCTCACGGCTCGGCGGGTAGCCCGCGCTCCGGGCCTCCGCTTCGACACTTTCCCCAACCTCAGTCCCAGGCCCGTCACGCGACAACCACAGTCCATTACCGTTACCACTGTAGTTTCGCTATATAGTCTTCGCTCATGCTTTCGCTCATTGTACTCTTGCTTTGATAGTGCAGTTCTCGTTTGTTCACTCAATTGTATTTGTAACACTTGGTATTCAGAGCCTACGATCTCCTCTCGGACCGCACCCACACCTTCGCTTCCCCACTATCTCAATTTTTGGGGGGGTTAGAAGTCTCTCAGCGACACAGCACCACCGCTTGTAGTGCTCTCTCGTAAGCACGCACGGCCACGACCGAGGCTCTCGCTGAGCTCGCCCGACACCCCCGCCATGGCCGAATTCACGCTCGCAAGACTGACGCAGAAGCAGCTTGACTGTCTGGTGCGCCAACTTGAAGATTCGGCGCTCGAAATTGCGACGCTGACGGTGGAACGTGACTCCGCGCGTCAGCAATCAACGGTGAACACTCCAGCGCCACCACACGCACCGACAAATGCATCTACACAATCGGACAAGCCGATCATCATTTCGTCCGGCACACCAACACAAAACAACAGCGTGGGACAGAGCTCAGGTGCAGCCAGCGATGGTGCCGCCCAGCCGATGCCTGGCATGGGAGGAAACAGGGTCGCACCAAGCCCGCGGGAGCCTCGCGAAGCCCGTCGACACGTGGAGTTCGCGGCGACAAGTGGCGAACAGACCATTATGACAACAATGCCACTCAAGCCGCAACGCCCGCCCCGCTTCGACCCGAGCCAGCTTGGAGGTCCGACGGTTCAATCGTGGGTCTTCACGATGAATATCTTCTTCGACGCGAATTATGTCGAGTCGGACGCAGCGAAGATTTGATATGCCGTTTCGCTGCTTAGGGGCCCCACCATGGACTGGTGGCGAGTCATCGTGACGTCGCCACGCGCCTACGAGCCACCGTCGCAAGAGGAAGGGCCCACGGGTCCAGCTGTCACCTGGAGTTCATTCTGCGAGACCGCCCAATACAGCACGTGGGATGCGTGGTGCGCAGGGCTTCAGGCGTGCTTCGAGCCGATCGCGGCTTCTATTTCGGCGCGTCAGAGATTGCGCACTTGGCGGCAGCTCGGGTCGGTTCAAGACTATACGAGTGGTTTTCTCGCATTATGCAAGCAGGTCGGCTACATGCACGAAGCGGAGCGGGTGGACCGTTACGTCGGAGGGCTGAAGCCGGACATCTCGCACGAAATTATGCTATGCGGGCTCCCGAACTTCAACGAGATTCACACGCTTGCCGAGAAAATCGACATTTTACGCCGTCCGAGACCGGGGTCCTACTACGGACATCGTCCTCGGGGACCGACTGAGCACGCCACGGTACACGCCGTTGCGATGAACACAGCTGTCGCGTCGTTTAAGGGGCGCTGCTTTGCTTGCAATAGGCCGGGCCATCGCAAGAGTGAATGCCCAGAGGAGCTAAGGCGCCGCGGAGCCGAGCAGGGGAGGGAGTCTCCAAGGCAGGGAAACGCCAGTAGTCAGTAGGAATCGGGCCAACTACTGACGAGACTGCCTGCTCGCCCAACCCCACCGACCCTCACCGAGTCACAGTACCGATTCATGCTATCGATCGGACTCGGACGAATAAGGGGGGCATAGCGACGGATTGCCCGGTACTAATCCACGGGAAAATACAGGAGCAGTAGTGAAGATTTTTATCGAGGGAGGAGCAAGCCACTGTTTAGTTAATACCGCAACCGCACGAAAACTACAATTGACACTTAGCGGAGATAGACGCACGCTTAGTCGACGGCACGCCACTGGCCATACGGGAAAAAGTAGAGAGAGTCAAAGTCCGCTGCGGGGGGGAATTTCGGGTTTACACAGGAAATGCTCGCAACGACACTGGATGGGCACGATATTCTACCCGGACGTGATTGGCTGCGACGGTATAACCCGCGAATTGACTGGACGACGGGTAGCTGCACTGTGCGAAGTAGTGGTAACTGGGTCGAGCTACCTCGCTAGCAGTCGCCCGAGTCTTCAACGTTACACGTCAACGCCGTCACAATGAAACGGGCTGGCGCCGCTAGAGCTGATGTGTACGCAGTAGACATCGCAGTAGTAGAGGGAGCATAGCAGCCGAGTGATTTCAAGAAACTGCTGGCAGCAATACCGCCCGAACTACAGGAACTGTTGAAACGATATCCCGGGATTTTTCCCGACGATTTACCAGAAGGGCTGCCACCTCAGCGCGCAAATGACCACCGAATAGAATTGGAACTGGGGGCACAGCCAAGTGTACAGCGCCAGTTCAGACTGACACAGCACGAGCTCGACGAACTAAGGAAGCAGTAAGA